GAGCATGATTCAAATTTCCCCTCTAAAATATGTAAAAACCCAAGCAGAGTTTTCGTCATCAATTTGTACCTATGAGCAGATGACATTCAGATTTTTTTCAGATTTTTTCTACCTTTATCTAAGAATCCGTTCCATTTCTGCAAAAGAATCTACTAAAAACCTTTTTCAAAGGGCCATAAAGAAATTAAAAGACAAGATTGTTGTTTTTAATGAAGTTGTTTCATTTTGAAATGTTGTTGTTTATTCAATTCAGTTTGTAGTTGGCCGATGATCGGCTTTTTACAAAGTAAATAAAATCAGAAACAGCATAAACACATATCGATGAATATCGATATATCCAACGATAGTTGATTGCATATTGTGTTTGGATGCAGATTTACAACTTCAACTTTGTACGACGCCAGTGACGTCTCTTAGCGTTGTATCTGAAATGAGAGCAAACGAGAATGGAAACATTGTTAGAACATGTGTGAGGTTATGTATAATCATGTATTCATTTCGGACATTGAGGTTATGATCATAGGTCAGAACTGGTTGGAAAATGTGTTTTTGAGTATACTTTCGGGCTTCTTCTTGAGCAAATGGACGGAAAAATTTATTTTATGAATTTATTCACTACGCTAAGCACAAAATCAACGGAACTTGACACTATTTTAATGCATATATATGATTGGTGTTAGTGACGACCACGCCATGTGTTCACCGCATAACAAAATTCTATTTAATCCGATTTCACGCGATTTTCGCCGAAAGACACTCAAAACACATTTTCCACTGTATCAATTAATTGCAAAATAACCGAATGGCATTCGATGCACATGATTGGTTCACTTGAAACCTACCTGATTTTGTTACCAGTTCGCATACGAATCCATTGTGGAATCGAGCAGTTTTGCTTGAGCTTTTTAGCTAAGACGCGCTTAATGCGAAAAGACTTGTGGGCAGCCTGCAATAAACCAATGAATTTTCATTAAAACATTACTCATTTACACGGATAAACACAATTTTATGAAGAAAATTCGACAAAATTGTAATTATTTTGAAAAAAATTTACGGAGCGTGTTGAACTACATACCATTTTCCTCTGTAACCACGAGTAGAAGAAATTGTCGTTTGACAGTCAGCGTTAATGTCGTGCGGTTTCTGTTCATACCGGTACGAATGCAGTACTAGATGCGCGCTAGGGTTTTCGGTTCAAGTATGGCAAAGCGGATGAGCTTCGATACCGAAGACAGAGGAAAATTACTTTTTAATGAATTTTCAACTAAATTTCACTCTGTCATAAAAATGTCGAAAAAACTAAAATATCCGATTTAATTTCAGAGCATAAATTGTTGTGATGCTTTTCGCAAATGGAAATCCAAATGAAAAATGTGTCGATACAAAGCATGCCGTATTATATACGGTGAACGTAGTAGACACCATTATAACTAGCGCCAGCATCTTTTTTATGAGATGATTTTTTCAGCCAACCGCCAATAACAACAAAAACAATCCATTATATATGAATAGTCAGTAGTAGTCGGAATGTCAAATTCCATGCACTTCATTTGAGCATCGAAGTAAGCAAATTTTTTTCTTTCTTTCTTCATTTCCTTTTTTTTTTCCACATTTTGGACCATTGTTTGGCTTTTCAATTTGTTTTGAGTAAAAAAGTGAAATGTTTACTTGAAATTTGAATGAGAATACTGCAAAAGAGATGCATTGTTTGTATTACTGCAATGTCGTTGCTTGAAGCAAAGGAAGATATATATAATATTGAGAGTAATTTCGAATGAGAAAATTGTATCGTAAAAATTTCTGTATGTGAGAAATTGGTGCTACGATTTATAATACGAATTGAATTGTAAAAGATTCGCAAATAAAAATAGCGATAGCAAAGCGAGAGAGAGGGAATGTGTGTGTGAGAAATACGTATTGCCATTCAGTGGTATAGTTTTCCTCATTGTTCACTCAATGTCATGCATAATCATAACACGATCTACTAGTGTGGCTACTCAGCTGAGCCAGTCGTTTGCGAAAGAAAAAAAAATCCAAATCGTTTCCCACATGAATGATCCATACACAAAAATAGGCTCTTAAGTTATGAATCGTCTGTATGATTGTAATGTATGTTTACAAGTGAAAAACCAAAAAAAAATAATCAGAAAAAAAGTTTCATCGTCAAAGCCACAGGCAAGCTGTCGTTTGTGGTGACGCGCGTGTGTGTACGTGTGCGTCAAATGCATAACCATTTGTTTTGATGGTGTGCGTGCATGTGTTTTTTTAATACATTTCCGATTGTATGCGTCGACGTGTGCGACTGACACTCAACGATATGGGCAAACTGTTTTCTGTTTGGTTTTTTCTTTCTCTTCTTTTATTGTATTATATTCCTATTTTGAACGAGCAACCATTGCGTTACCGTGCGTCTTTTGGCTAGTGCATCGGTTTCTATTTAATAAGACAATTAATGCTTTCTCATTTAGCGCGTTGGAGTATGTGTGTGCGTGTGTACAAGTGTATTTGGTACTGGAACGCAACATACACGTAATCCATCGTGAAAATATCGTCATAAAACATCCAAATTCAAAGTAGAAAAAAAAAATCACTAAATATGATATGCTGATTTGACGACAGTGCAAGAATTTATCAATTTTACTGCGGTACACACACACATTCAAACGAAAATTAAGTAAGCAAATTTAACACACGAAATGGACAAACAATTCATTTGTTTGGTTTTTCTGTGAAAGAATCATGTGCGTTTCATTGAATCCGCCTCTAATTGACCACCGAACACGAATCGGTGGCCGCCGTAATTTTGTATTCGTATTCTAGTCAATCTGATAATTAACATACATTTATCTCTCTTTCTGATCATTGCAGAATTTTTTTTCTTCATTTTATTTCACCTTGGCGGCGTTAGGTTATTGAAATTCCATTTTGTTTATTGTGACAGAGAACAATCGACTCGGAGCCTGGGATCTGTTTATGTTCATTTCACAATCACCACTCAGACTTTACATATACGACACAAACACACACGACAGCTGGCACGAATGATCGACATTACATTCGTACAGACAACCGACACATATGCTGTTGAATAAAAAAGAATGAACCCGCAGCATTTGAATTATAACCACAACCAAGCAACATTTCATCAAGAAAAACAGTGAGTGCACATATTTGGAGCAAAGCTAAAATTGTTTATTTTTAAAACAATATGTTTAAACACAAATGGTTTTGTTGTTGTTTACTTTTTGTATGCGTATAGAAAATGGGAGAATGCAATCAGTAACTACCAAGGACCCGATCCGCTGGAGCTTTGGTACGAATTCATTTGCTGGTATGAGCAGAACATTCAACTTGACCATGAGCGTCTGTTTGAAACGGTTTTGGGCAAATGTTTGTCCATTTACGAAACACAACAACACTACAAACAAGACACAAGAATGGTCAAACTCTGGATGAAATACGTAAGTTCTATAAATATTTGGTTCGCTTCAACGAAATAGAATCGATCACTATTTATTTATCTTCTCATCAGATTGGGCTTAAAAACAATCCGCTTCAGTTGTATCAAGTGCTGTACCAGCGTGGAATTGGAACGCAATGCAGCATTTTCTACATTGGATGGGCACACTACTACGACTCGGCGAATGCATTCAAGCAAGCGGAATCGGTGTACAATCTAGGATTTCAGGCGAATGCACAACCGTACAGTGCACTTGAACGATCCCATAAAGATTTTCGATTTTCACTGTCACAACGAATGCTTTATAATGATCAACAGTCGAAAAAACGAACCGTGTCTCAATTGAACGATCAACGACAACAATTGACCTCGTTAAATCCGTCATCTTCATCGCCAAACGTACCGAATTTTCAACATGCACAAAATAATTATACGCCGCCACCGCCGATGAATCAACAACAACAACAACAAAATTCCTATACACCACCGCCACCACCACCCACCGCACCATCGACACAACAGCAACAGGTTCATCATCAACAACCACAACAAATATCATCGTCGCAACAGCAGCAACAGCCGTATCAGAGTCCACAGCAACAACAAACGGTGCCACAACAGCCACCAGTGCAACAGCAACAAACGGTGCAACAGCAATCACAGCCGTATCAAAGTCCACAGCCCATGCCAACGTATCAAGGATATAATTCGCCAGCTGAAGAACAGCAACCACCAGCCAAAAAGTTCCGTGGCCAAGAAGAACAACGTACTTACAATAACTATAACAATTACCAACCGGCGACGCAACCAGCCACCCAGATCGATTATAATCGGGAAAATGTGAATGGAACCGAATATAACAATCAATATGCTGAAGCGAAGACGAATAGCGATGAGTTGAACAGTAGCACGAGTGCAGCTTGTGCCCTTGCGCTAAATTCAGTGTACAGTGATGAAGATGGATCCGAAGACTTTGGAGCTTATAGAAGCTACAATGAAGCTACATCGAATGTGGCTGAAACGACCAAATATCCTGACGAAACGTTGACATATTCGCGGACCAACAATGCGTCAGTTGTCGAACAAAATTCACAACCTGGAGGCTGTATTTTATCACCGAATTTTGCTCGGTTTGCCAAAAACCATTATGATCCATGGAGTTGGCCAATTTTCCTCGACGAACCCGATACGAACAAAGTTTGTAAGTATCCAAGGCATTTGGTTTATCCGGGAAATGGTTGCGAATACAGTTTAGAAGAAATTCGTGCTCGAAATTATACCAAAGTGATTGAAACAATCAAAGAACGGAATCGACTGAGAGAAATTGCGTTGAATGAACAACGACAAATGAACCAAATGCAAAATGTGCACCAGCAGCAACGATTTGAAAATCATCCACAGCATCAAAGATATGGTGAACAGCCGGAACAACAACATCAACTTCAACAACAACCAAACTACCAACAGCAGCAACAGCAGCAACAACAGCAACAGCAACAGCATATAATGCGACAACAACAACAACAACAACAGTACGAACAGCAGCAAGCGTACGAAAAACAGCGCATGGCCGAAATGGAGCGAGAAAGAGTGATGAAAGAGCGTGAACGCAGTCGTTTGGCCGCATTGGAAATGCAACGGGCCAAGGAACATGAAGAGCAACAACGTCGATTGGCCGAACAGCAAAAAATGCAGCATATGCAACGACAAGCTTCCTTTGTACACCAGGTAATGTCATTTTTTCGCTTCTATTTCTAAGAAATGTTGATCAAAATGGAATATATATACTTTCTGCAGCAACCAAATCGGGGTCATGCTCAGCCAAGCCCACATCCTCCGCACTCTGTAAACAACCATTCGGGATACTATGAGCAGAATCAGTCACCAGTGTATAGCAACTATGTCAATTATCCAGCGCCGAATCATCAAAACAGCGCTCCAGTCCAGTATCCGCTACAAGCAATGCAATCGATACAACAGGTGCAACAGCCACCGGTTCAGCAAGTGCAACAACAACAATACTATAATCAAAATCACATGGCACCTCAAACGTCGATGCATTCCCAACCACAGCCACCGCCGCCAGTTAATCATCAAAATGATATGTATCAGTCACAGCAACCTCGTTATCCACCACAAGCAATGCCGCCACAACATCATCAGAACATGATGCCTGCCACACCATCGATGCAGATGCAGTACCAAGATACTAGTTATCAATCTCAGCCACAATCACAGAACGCGCCGCAGCCGCAGTATCACGAATATCAATATCCCATGCAACCAACGGCAACGGCAGTTCCGGTCAGTAATTCCAATAGCAATTACAGTGCTCAGCCTCTGGATGAAGAAGGACCAACGGTGACGGAATTGAAGACTGTAAATTGTTTTGCCGATGATATCGAAGAGCAAATTGAAGCATCAACCATTGTGCTTAAAAATGGTTCCGATAAATTACAGAAAATCACCATAAAATATCGTAAAGAGAAAGCAGAAGGTGAAATTCAACCAGTGCCTCCTTCGGTGACGACGCCCAGATCAAGGCGATCGAAAAAACCAAAATCAGGTGATAAAAGTCGAACGGCCATAAAATCAAGTCTCGATAGTGAATCGGAAAATTCGACATTCATGAATAATGAAGAGTTCCAAGCGGAGTCAAATGACTCGTTCTCGACTCCAACGCTCACAAGCAAATTGTCCAAATCGAGGAGAACCAAAACAAAAACGCCAAAATTTGAACCAACCTATTTACAAGATGATGACTCTTGCTCAAATTCCGATTTCAATACACTTTATGGCAAGTACAGTAATGAAGGTGCCGATGCAACTACAAACGAAGGTGGACGCAATGTTCGATTTAACTTTACCGGTGCTACGTCGACACCGATTCGGAATAACAATAATATTAATAACTATCAATCACCATGCTCATCGGCCAAACCAAGCTACAAAAGCAATGAATCGTCGTCGAAATCATCGACACCACGAAACACATACAAATCTCTGCGCCGGCGAACATCGAATATTTCACTTTTGAACAGCACTTTGAATGATAACGATGACTCGATGACCTCATTCTCAATGGTCGAACCAAACAGTTTCTTCGAAACGGAAAGCAACGAAGAGTTGCATCAACAACGATTGGACAAAGCATTGAAAACAATCGATACACACTTCAAGAAGGATCACATCGATCCGTTCAATTCGGAGTTGTGCAAAGCATTTTTGACCAAAGCCGATTTTCCATCCAGACAACATAACGAATTCTACAAATTATCAAGCAATTTGCTGTCGAAGCTATCAAATACGAGATACGTTACGATCGGTGATGTTCGATTCAATGTAGAAAAGGAAATTGGACGCGGTGCATACGGAAATGTGTATCGTGGTGTAAATGTAAACACGAGCGATGTTGTTGCATTGAAATTCCAAAAACCACCAAACACATGGGAACTGTATATTTGCTATTCAGTTCATCAGAGAATTAAAAACCGGAATATGGTAGGTTTCCCTTGGCAATTTGTATTCTTTTTGATACTCATCATAGTTTTCATTTGGTATATAACAGCTACTTGGCTTTATGGATATATCGTCCGCCATCATCGCACCAAATGCAAGTATTTTTGTGTCGGAATTCTCACAATTTGGCTCTTTGCTCGATATTAACAATCGCATTCGTCAATCAACAACAAAGGTGAATATTTTTTTTTTATCAACGCGATATCAAATATGGATAGAAGTATTTTGTTGTAACTTGTGAGTTATATGAATTTTTTTGTTCCCATAGGTTATGCACGAAAGTCTTGTGATGCACTTTACCAGCCAAATATTGAACATAGTTCATTATTTGCATTCCTGTAAAATAATCCATGGTGACATTAAACCCGATAACTTTTTGCTCATGAAAGTGTAAGTTTTTGAATGAAAAGTATAATTTCTTATAACAACAAGAAAATTCACGTTTTCAATGTCGTTGTTTGCACATTTATAGACCAAATCCAAACTCAGATGTGCCGACTTTAAGATTGATCGATTTTGGATGCGCCATTGATATGAAATTCTTCGAGCCAAACACTCAATTTAAAAAGGTAAGGAGATCATTATTTTAGTACAGCATTAAGCCAGAATTGAATTTGAGTAGATTTGAAATAATTTTATCCTTATTATAATGGACGTAGACTTCTCATATGAGAAGTACTTGATAGAAATTTGTATTTTTCAAATGAGATTCATTGTTTTGATTCAATCAACAGGTTATTCAAACCGATGGATTCACGTGCCCTGAGATGTTGGAAGGTCGCCAATGGTCCTATCAAACAGATGTATTCTGTGTGGCTGGTACTGTTCACGCCATGCTCTTCGGCGAATACATGCAAATGGTCAAGAAATTTGGCCAATACGAAATCAAACAAAAGTTGCCACGGTAAACAATTCAATTGATTTTGAGATAATCTCCCACATATTTGCTGCTATTGTGAATTCAGTCATGTCAATATATTCTTGTCATAATCCATGTGAAAAATGCTCGTATCTAATCTATACGAAAATCTATTCTCTTGCTGCAGGTACCTGAAAAAACACATATGGACGGAATTCTTTTCGGCATTCCTCAATATCAAAGATGTGCACAGTTTACCAAATCTATTGGAAATAAAAGAGAAAATCGACCATGAACTAGAAAGCATGGAATCCGAACTACAATCGCAAATTCGAACCCTTTCGAATATTTTATACAAACGTTAAGTAGCTCAGTAATGTGCTAGCTATTCCGAATCAGAATAACGCAAAAAAAAAAATCCCGAAAAGTTCTAAAAAAAAGAAGATGTGTACAGTTCAAGTAAAAATTTATATTTTAATTGAGGCTTTTATAAGAACTGAAAAAAATCACCAACAACAAATTAATATTTAACAAGTTTTTTTTTCGTTGCAAAGCTTCCTTTTTTTCTCAACACAATATAGTCATTTTGATAACATTCTAAATTTTTGAACGTCGAATGAAACCGAAAAAATGACTTGATTTGTATAATTTGATACAATTGACACCTGTTGTTTAGCTTGAGTATATCTATTTTGGCCATCAAGAAATAGAGTAAATACTTGTTAGCATATTCACAATTCAAGCGACATTTTTTCACCGACAATTGCTAAATTAGGCCACTATTTAAATGTTTTTTTTTTCTCTTTGTCTAGTAAATAAAACGATATTTATTTTATCAATTAGTCTGATTTCGATTTGACTGTATAAAAAAAATCAATATAATTTGATATAATTTAAGCTTTTTAATCTGATTTTCTCTCATCAACATTTCAACTGTGAACCTGAAAAAACGCACAATTTTGGTTTTTGTCGTGGAACAAATTGATGTCAGTCAACCTCCTTCTAGTTGGTTTCAATAGAAATTAAAAGCCGGCAACAGCAAGTTTTTCGGTTTGTTTGTTAGCATTGAATTTGGTAAATGTTGTGTGCGGAGTTGGGCAGAGTCCTTTCCAAATTAGTAAAAAAAAATCCGTTTAGTGAAAATTTTAGTGTCGAATTAACTGGCATCTATTGCGTGTGTCTACTCTTCGGTTCACACAATTTATTTTTATAAGCATATCATAATGAGTGCATATTTCGAGTGGAGGACATGATGCCTCGGACGGACAGCTTGTTTCTGTGTTTCTATTACATTAGAGTATGGTGTCCGTCCAGGGCATTATGACCGCCACTCCATATTTCGATTCGATTTAGTTGTGAAGCAAAATGAAAAAAGATAGAAAATGGAAAGACATTCAATTGTTGAAATTCAATTGGAAGTCTGGCCTCGATAATTTGATTCAAAAACCAAACTAACATTTCTATCTCGTCACCAATTTCGGGTGGAATACTTAATTAACTCAATTTACTTCGTGCGAACAAGTAAATCCACTTTGAATATTAGAAATATAAATGGAATGTAAAAAAAAACAAAGATTATTTAAAAGAGAATATAAAATGAATGCAATTTTTTAATAGAAATTTAATTTTATGAAAATTATCTTAAAGATTGAATTGATATTAAGAAACACAAACTAACTACTACGAATAAAAGAATTTTTAATTCAATTGTGAATTTCAATTGGTTTTATTTTAAAGCTGAAAAAAATGACGGAGACGTCTGTTCAAATTGACTTGAAAAAAGAAAAAAAGGAAAGTATTCAATTGATTTCTATATTCTTATAATAAAACGCATCATAAAATGTGTTTGTACAAGAAATTTTTATTTTATCAAATGTTTCTCGGTGTGAAATATAGAATCCATAATGTGGCAACAGTTTGGAATTCTATCAAAAAAATGTATGGACACATTTCTGAGAATAAGGATGATTTTTAGTTGCTGGAACCTGTTTATTTTTGTATAAAAATATTTCTCCAAAAAATATAAATGATATAATTAAGCATAAATCTCCACATCAAATGAGATTAATTCAATGCGAACGAAGACTGTTCTTTTAGATTTGGATTTGTAGAACATCACCGGCAGCCTTGACGATGTGACGTGCTGAAAGACCGAATTGGTCGATGAGAACGGTTGGTGGACCGGAGCGTGGCACCTTTTGCACGGCCAAGTGTTTGACAACGATACGTGGTTGTTCAGCGACGGCATGCAAAACAGCTTCTCCTAAACCACCTTCTTTGTAGTGATCTTCAACGACAACAACACGTCCTCCAACAGCCTTGGCGTTTGCAATGACAGCGGCTTCATCCAATGGTTTGATTGTGAATGGATCCAATACACGAGCGTGGACACCTGATTTCTCCAATTCAGCAGCAGCAGCGAGAGCTTCGTACAAGGTGATACCAGCGCCGATCAACAAAACTGTGTCGTTGTCTGATTGACGGACAACGTGAGCCTTACCGACTTCGAATTTCTGGGTGTTTGAGTAAATGACAGCAGTGTTTGGTCGTGATGTACGGATGAAGCAAATGCCTTGTGTGTTGGCGGCCAATTCAACGGCACGTTCTGTGCTCACAGCGTCTGATGGATAGAAGACTGTGCTTCCTGGAATTGTACGGAACATAGCGATATCTTCAAGACCCATTTGACTTGGACCATCTTCACCGATTGAGACACCGCAATGTGAACCGACAAAGTTAACGTTGGTCTGTGAGATAGCGCCCATACGTATTTGATCGAATGCACGCGAGAAGAAGGTGGCAAATGTCGAAACGAAAGCAACAGTACGGCCACGGCATGCAGCACCGATAGCAACGCCGGCCAAATTTTGCTCAGCAATGAAGCATTCGATGTAACGGTCTGGGAATGCTTTCTTTAATTTGTCTGAGTAGGTTGAGTTTTTGGTGTCACCATCCAAAGCAATCACACGACCGTTGTTGGTAGCAATCTTGGCCAATGCAGTACCGTATGCCAAACGGGTGGCTACTTGTTCGCCCAATTTGTACTCTGGTGGTGTGGCCAATCGAATGTTGGCAATTTGTACTTTAACGGCATCTTCTACTGGTTTTGGTGGGGCAATTTGCAATGGTCCTTTGTTGTGGATAAAACCATTCAAATGCTTGATAACAGCATCGGCGTGTTCTCCCAATGGCTTTCCATGCCAGTTGTCCAAATCTTCAATGTTTGGAAAGAATTTCCCCTTGAATGTCTTTGCAATGATGGCAGTTGGCTTGTCCTTGGTAACACTGGCTTCATGGAAGGCTTTGCACAACTCTTCGACATCGTGTCCGTCGACGACGATTGCGTTGAAACCGAAGGCATCCAAACGTTTGCGGTACACTTCCATGTTGTGTTGAAGTGAAGTAGCTTCTGATTGACCCAAACGGTTAACATCGAAAATAACGCACAAATTGTCCAAGTTGTAGTGGCTAGCGAAGTGCAATGATTCCCAGATTGAACCTTCAGCTGATTCACCATCACCAACAATGGCATAAGTACTAGATTGAAATTGAAAATTTATTAAAATGGATATCGATTGTTATATTCGAATTCATTTTTTCTTCCACTTACCGGTATGAAGCTTTGTCCAAGTACTTGCCGATGTAAGCCATACCAGCGGCAACAGCAACACCTTGTCCAAGCGAACCGGTACCAACATCGATGAAGTTCAATCGTGGCGTTGGGTGACCTTCCAAATCCGAATCGAATTTACGCAAGTTGTTCAAGTCTTCGATTGGGAACAAACCAGCTTCAGCCCAAGCGGCGTACAAGATTGGGCAAGCATGACCTTTTGACAAAATCAAACGATCGGATGATGGATTGCGTGGTTCTGATAGCTTATAACGCATTGTGTTGAAGAACAACACTGACATTATTTCAGCGATTGAAGAGCATGATGTTGGATGTCTGAAAGAGAAGTGAATTTTTTTGGTTCATTTAGAAGGCAGATCCAACATCTTGGGAAATATTTTCATTATTGAATAATTGTTATGAAATTCGATTCTGGAAAAGAACCGAACTTATGACATTTGAACAATGATCAATTGCCGTTTCTTTCTTTGAAACTACATTTTCATCGGAAAGTTGCATATATATTCTAATCGTTTTTTTTGCCTACTGAAAATTAATGTTATTATTGAATAAATAAACGAGTGTATTGGTTTCAATGTTAAGTGCATGCGTTCTCGTGTGTTCGATAAGGCCATTGTCATCACGCATTTGTTTGCTTGATACCTTTCTAAAGTGCCTCTCGGCTATAAACTATCTATAATCGTAATAAAAAAAAACTAATTGACTTTAAAAAGGCACATTCGATTCAATCGACCTTTGAAGTAATATTCATTTCGAAGGAGTTATTCGATGGAAAATTATAAATAGTGATTAAAATGAGTCCTAACGTTTTTTGCAATTTGGGCATAAAACAAATCTTATCTGGTAGAGGTGAACTTGATAACCGATTCTTATATAAAAGATGTACGGAATCAACATAACGGACACTTTAAAATCACGGAAGTATTTGTGTGTCATACGATTATTGAAATACTCCAAAATGATTTGTGAATGACAAAATTTCTCCTCCAACGGAAAAAAATGAACAGAAATAGACCGAAGCCGTAAATACGGTTCCATCACAACAGAAACTCCAATTTGAAGCACTCAAAAAACCGGCCGAATGTGACGTATACATCACTATTGAAGCACGCGGCTTATCGCAATTGTCATGCCCACCACTTGTGGATGTTTTTTTTTCTGTCACCGTTGTAGTTAAAAAACATTTTCTTTCTGCCTTTCTCGCTATCTCTCTATTTCTCTCTCTCTCTCTCTCTCCCCCTCTCTCCCCCCACCCAATCGTATAACTTTGAGTATTCCAGTTATATAATTGAACGCACACGTGTATGTGAAAACAACAAGTAGTTGTATTTGACTTTTCTGCAGGAAATTGTTGATAACCGATCAAGGTACTCAAAAAAATGTTATGGCGTCATTTGCAACGAAGCTAGTAAAAATCGTACGAAAAACGTCAAAATATATCTGGATATCGAATGACATATATATTTTCACCAGAAAATTAAACGTATTTCTTCTACAATAAATTCTTTTTCAACGTCTACAATAGCGTGGTATGCACCGCGAAGAGGTTTTTCAGTGTTACATCGTTGCGGCAGTATTTTATTACAAACTCATCGAAGGTCAAAAAGGACATCAAGTCTATATAATGTAATTCTATCGAATGGAAGAAAAAAACGCGTACAAAAACCCGATCAAAAGTCTGCCTTTGACATTGAAACGAATAAATTTAAAACTTAGTCCAACACACACACATACACACAGAGAAAAAATGTGTGCCGATGAAATGTGAATGCATTCAAAATGAAGACCGCGTGGGTATTTTCCATCACTTATGTTAGAATTTACAACAACAACAGAAAAAAGAAGAATATGCATTTCCTTACCCAGATTTCGATGCTTGAGTCGATGTAATTGAATGAATACGCAAGCGGTGAGCAATATCACGCAATTCTTGAACAGTTTTTGATTCTGGTTTATGATAGTTCACCATTTTTACGGTTTTACACTGCTTCGTCTTTACTTTTGAAATGAAAAAAATGTTCAAGACTTTTTCTTGACTTGAGAGATATTCTACTTCAACCGGCGACTCCAAATAAAATTCGCTCCAAACTGTACGACGTATCAAAGCCGACTAAATGAATTTGGAAATCTCATGCGTTCACGACACACGATTTCTCTTTCATTCAGTAGACACGACACGCGATAACGCACACAACACGCTACAACGAGACAACTATCCAGTTGTCAATCGTTCCAGTTGATGAACACACACACTCACCGCAGCCGACTATTCCATTCCTTTAGAATGAACGTATGTCGTGAATGAAGTATCGTCTCACTGTTACGCGTATAGAGATCTCTTTCGCGCTTACTTATGTACCGAAATTAATGCCCAAACCTGGAATCGAATGTTCTAATCGGTTGACTTTAAATACGCTTAAACCGTCCAAGAATTGAAGAACGCTTTGTTAATACCTCGGCAAATGACTTTCAAACTGGTTAAGTTGTAATGATACTATTTTTAGCTAAATCTATTAATTTTGTTGATGTTAATGATTACGTCTCAAGAACGTAGTCTAAGGCATGCTGTTGGATCAGTACGCCACAACAATTGATTATTTAGCATAGCATAGCAGCAGCACAGCATTTGTTTACATACACATTCATTCATCATTTTGGGCTATTCTGGGTCAGGTTTTGATTGAGTCAGTGGTCAAATTTATTGCATACATTCATTGAATCAAGTTTACAATTCAGTCAGTTTGGTTTTCGATTAACTGTATACATAAATATACATACATACATATTAAAAATATTACGCATCTCGCGTCAGACGTGTTTTGTTCATTTATTTCAAGAAGGGACATTCCCGGTCCATGTTTAACACAACTTTGTGGTCAATTGTTGACAATATTTAGTTGACGTCTCACGTAAAACACCATTTACCCACTTTCATTTGCTGTGGAACGCATAAGTCGAGCCTATGCACATAAAACCGCAACTTGTTCTCCTTCTTCTGCAGTTGTCGTTCGTTGCTGCTGCTGCTGATTCAGTCGTTATCTTGCTGCTCAAGTAGATAGATGGGGGTCAAGTGGCTTAAAAGTGAAATCTGTGATATCATTTAGAAAGTCTAGTGTAATCGAACATGATTTATATGAATTGTGTTGTCAAATATTTGGCGTTCCTTTATTTCTTATCAACATGTCTGTACGCATATGGAGCACTAATACCGAGTAATACACATTTTACTCTTCGGCAATTTAATAATTGATCAATAGGAAGATCAAATGAGTGGTTTCTATTGAAAGTTTTCTAAAATTCTTTTGGAAATGTAGAATACTGGCGCTGGATTTCATCATTTACTTCCAAATGCTTTACGAAACGAAAAAAATTGTTTTGTTCAATTATTTACGGTTTTGAAAACACATTCCTCAACTAGCTTTATTCGATCAATGTAATTTGAGTTTTATGTAATATGGCGCTAGTGTTTTACATTCTTCACAGATTACCCATTGCAATTAAACTGTAATTTACTTAAGATCACTGAATGTCAATGCTATTCGACGGCAAAGTTTGTTAAACTATACAGAAACCGGTTCATTGTTTTCATAACCATATGTGCACTTTTATCGCCATCGTTGCCGTTGTCGTCGTCAACAATGTGACTTTCAATAAAAAAAACATTGTGTCATCGATTGTAATTCTGTATATTTGCGACTGAATGTTCAATTCTTGAATTTTTTTCAGGCCCCAAAACACCAAATGCAAAATGTGGTGTTCAATTATTTGCAGATCGGGTAAAATTTTTTCAGATCTTTTTCTTGGTAACTCTCGAACTAAATCCAATCACTTTCAAGTGCAGATTATTGGTGGTAATGTTACGGGAATTTATGACTATCCATGGACAGCTTTGTTGCGATATCGTAATGAGCGGAAGCAATTGGAATCGTGGGGATGCAGTGGATCATACATAGGTTGAAAAAATTTAATAAAAATCTGACACGCAAATATATCAAGTAATGTATCATTTTTTTCCAATGGAAACAAACAGGTGGCCGAACAATTATTACGGCGGCGCATTGTGTGGACGAACAATCGAAACGAGATTTGGGAGACTTGTAATGAGATTTTATTTTCGTTTGATTCGAAATGGCTCACGTTGGAAAATGTGTTTTCAGGCAATTTGTACGACTTGGTGAATACGATACCGAAACAAATCCTGATTGTATCGACTATGGGGACGACAAAGACTGCAATGAGCCACCATTCGATTCGGCAGTAAAAAGCAAGTTCTATCGATCAATGATTGTTGATGTTCTCCAATTTAAACCCCTCCAATTAAATAATATAGATATTTTAATACACCCAAAACGAACGGAAACATCCAAAGAATACGACATTGCTATTATTATTATAGAAACGAAACCGCCATACACAGGTAAATTGATAGAATATTCCATATTTTATGATAGTTTCCAATTAAAAATGGAAAATTTTATTACTTATTTATAAATAGCGATTTTAAATCTTCAATTTTAATTTGAAATCTTCCTTATTTTCAAAAAAAAAAATAATAAAGATTCTCTTTATCAGACTTCATTCGACCTATTTGTTTGCCGGATTTGGCCGAGAAGGACCTTTTCGATCCAGAGGAAGTATTGTATGTGACAGGGTGGGGATGGACAATTGGATGTAAGACAGCAAGAATGAAATTGAAAAGGACATTGAATTGAATTCATAAAATTAGAACATTCAAATCTGAATCTCATCAAAATAATAAAAAAGTGATTTTTTTGACTAAAAAAATGAATCTCAGGGGAATTTGTCCAAATTTCAAGAAAAAATATGAAATTCCCATTTTTATTAAATCATTCATCATTCTCACTACCGTAGATGTTCGCAGTCCAAGCAATGTTAAACGACACGTTCGTATTGAGGCAGTTCATCATGATGTTTGTCGTAAACAATATGAGAAAATTAGTTTGAATCCGGTAATTGTTGCTTAATTGTTGCTTTTGAAGAAAATCTGAAAAAATGTTTACAATATTTCTTTTCAGAACTCGCAAATGTGTGCCGGTGGTAAGGGTGGCCATAATGTAAGAAGGGAATTGTGTATGTTTTTTCGTAGAACTTTATATGTTTTCTTTACTTTGCAGCCGTGTAGAGGTGATTCGGGCGGTGCATTGATGCGTCTTGTGCTCGGAACTTATTGGCAGTTAATTGGATTGGTGTCATTCGGGCCAGGAGTTTGTGCCATAGAAGGAGTCGATGGAAAAGCAGCCGTTTTTACAAAAGTCAACTATTTTATACCGTTCATTGTCCAAAATTCTCTCTAAAAAAATTGTATCACAATAATTCCGAATTTATTGATTTCTACTAGCTGGAAGGAAGGAAAAATAAAATAAAAGACTTTGGTCTCATTTAAACTTGTTTACTTCAATTTTATTTGTTGTTTTTGAATTTATAAAGAATTTTACCTTACATTCAAACGACTTAAAATGTTAGAAATAAAATTAAGAAATTCAATATTCATTTCCATTCTCTGTTTTTTTTTTTGTTCTTTCAATAAGTTATCTACATGCTTTTTGTCCAGTTGATAAGTATCAATAATATAATAATAGTAATAATATGCAGGTGACAACTTGCAATTTGATCATTTGAATAACAATATACATATAATGTTTGTTGGGTTTCCATTCGAATACCGTACACCAATATTTTTGTTGTTGTTGTTGTTGTTGTTGTCATCATGTTGGTAATCAACTGTGTTATTGGAAAGAATAAAACGAATGAGAGCTGCACAAATGGTGTTTATGCTCATCGGCTATTGTAAAATATGTCAAAAATGTATTAAAATGCACCTCAACTATTCTGTGTGCTATGGAACATTTCGGAAAAGAGCCCGGAGTTCAAAATTATTTGTTGTAAAATTCAAAATATTTCCATATGTCTATTGTCAGTGTGTGAAAAATATAACAATCGCAATTGGCCACATTCTTGGATAAATAGTCGGTTCATTTTTTTTGTTTTATTTTTCTTTATTCCTGAGCTTTGGTTATCTCGCCCTGGTGATATGGTTCGGACAATGTGTTTGGAAGTATTGATTCAATTCACATTCAGCAGGTTTTTATCATCATTTTTCGGTTCAACGGGCAAAAATTTAATTTGTTTGGCTATATAAATACATATACACTTTCAAATGAATCATCATCATAGAACAACACTATTTTGAACTACGATTAGGCCTTTTTATTCATTAAGCGGATCATTTTTCATTCAGGTTACACAGTACATGCACAATTGCACACACACATTTGTAAGATCAATTTCATACGGGGTGTGAATTTTCCTAGGGGCAAAGAACACAAGCGCTTGAGACGAATTTGTACGAGTTTTTGTGAATCGTACGACTGTGTATACGAGACATTCGCAGCGCAGTGAGTGTACAACAACAATAACAAAGCCACGAACACATGAATATATGCGAATCTATGTGAATCTCACAACTTGTTACAAGCCCCTAGGAATTTTCAAAGTAACGCTTGCGTTTTTTGTGGTTACTATTTTGATGGCAGTTTTTTTTTTTACTTTTCGCTCTGAAACACTTTGAAATCTCCGCACCCAATGAAACAATTCATGAAACAAACTACAACTTTACAACTCTTCGGTAGTAAAAATGGTGGGTGAACGCGATATGTGTTAACTTTGATTGGCATTTTTTTAATTGTGATTTTTTCTTGTTGAAAATTCGACTGAACGACTCACTCCCAGAGTCACATAGTTTTTTTTCATGTGTAGTATTGAGGGATTTCCACTTGATATTTATAAAATTATGTGTTCTATAAACTGCTCGCTAAGTGCTACCAAATTCGGTTTAAATAATTTTAGTTATTCATTATTTCAATAATAGTGAGCGTAGAGGAATAAGGGAAAATCTAATATTCATTGAAAAAGTATGAGTTTTGAACAAACGGAGATGGAAAAAAACCATTGCAATTGAAGGATACAAGTGCAATTAAGGTGTTCTGCAATCATTAAAACGACAAAGATGCATGCAACTGTGTTCAAGATTTGGAATCTATACGACGAATAAAGTGCGTTTGGATTGGAAAGAACCGGAAATTTTTCTCGAATCGAAATTTAGCCATGTTCAACACATATTGTGTCATATATTAATTTAACTCATGCATCATCTAAATGAATCGATATTTTCGTGCGCAATTATTTAAGGAAAAAGAAGAAGAAGAAACTCAAAGGTCATTTTAATAGTGGTGGTGGTGGTGGTGATGGTATATACATAAGTTTTGTTCATATTCAACGCGATAAATATAAATAGATTAATCGTAACAGTAATATGACCTTTCAGCGACTTTTCATTAATTCATCTCTCTTCATCCACCCTATTTTATATTCATATTGACTTATATTGGATATAACACACTGCGAATCTGTTCAGAGATGCCTTATTTATATTATATGAATGGTTTGGAGCGAAAATGTAATACAAAAAAGTTGAGCGGAAAAATTTCAAAGAAAAGGGATAGCTATATAGTTCACTATAGTTTACTATACAGTTTACTATATAGCTATCCCTTTTCCTCTCATTCATCATCGACATTTTTCCGCTCAACTTTTCTGTATTACATTTTCGCTCCAAACCATTCATATGTCAACAGACATCGCGTAATTCAGTGTGTTTATCTTAAATTTGTATGTCATCTTGAATCATTTATTCGAAGGTGCCTTATTGGTACTTTTTTTTAAAAAAATTAACATCACTCGTCATCAACGCGTCATCGCTCAACTTCATTTATAGTTGTTCCACTATATTTTACTAGAAAAAAAATTGAAAGGAGAATAACGCCCATACCGAGTGATTTATCTCTCACTCAAAATAAGTAATACTTAATTTGAAATCATTTTAGATTCTCTCAATCTTTGAAACAACATATTTCATTAATTTATGTGTGAAGTCAATTCATGGAGCGCGACATGATTCCTTAAATTTGATTAAAGTCGTTTGTTCGAATAAATATGCTACGGAGGGTTTGATCCGTTTTCATTGTTGTTTTTTTGGGAAAGAACATCGAAAATGTGCCGTCAAAGCGTCAAGTGTCCGAAATGTTATTTAGTGTAGTATAACGTTCATTGATATCACTGAATCGGGAAGAATGGGTTCCACATTTTGTAGACCAGCTACAACAAACATGATTCAAATAAGTTGCATGTGTGGGTTTATTTATTTTTATTTCTAGTGTTATGGAACCTAGTCATTTCTCGCCCGCTTATGAAACTTTCTATCTTCTTCAGACCTGCCACAAAAGTAAATGATTTGTACTGTCTTCACGACCAGCAATATCGCTTAATGGATTTATTCCCGAGCTTCGGAAATCTTCGAAGCCATCGCCACCGGAGATGATTAGTAAACCGCTGTGTTCGGATGATTTGGATCTCGATGCTTGTGATTTATTTGATGGGTTTTTCTTTTTGTTGCTATGTGATGTACTATCAACGGAATCGCTAGAATTATTATTATTCGGAAGCTTTCCGGCGTAATCGACGCACGTTATGAATCGTACATGTCCTGTGTGACCGTAAGGAATGCCTACAAATTGAAAAAAGTCAAACGATTAATTTTCTGATTCGTTTTCGATTTAACTATCGCAGAAGAAAAAAACAAAAATAAAAAATATTTACCAGTGACAATCGGTTGATCGAGTACGCTATTGTAGGTGCTGACACTGCCACTAGATTTGCACGTTGCAGCTGCAATGGTTAGAATAACGCCAGCACTCGTACCAATCCAAATCAAGTCTTTGCATGCAAGTAGCGATGTAACGCGCAGACAGGCTGCTTTATGCTGCCGAATGATATCATCACAATTCGAAAGCATTTTGTTAACTGAAGGCGCCAAATTCACTTCGAATAAAAGTGCAAGGCTGGAAGAGAGGTGGAAAAATTAGCATACAAAATGTGTCTCAACAATAAAAACGAATCCATGGCTATGACGTCAAGTACCCGATTGACATTGGCATTGGCATTGACATTGACATTGCGGACACCATTTAGTGCGCATTACCTTTTGGAATGAAAACATTTGATTTGAGCGGAGTTTTGTACCGATATCCACACTTGATTATTGTACACAGCCATATTTGTTATTGGTTTTATGTCGGATGAGATTTGCAGTTGATTTTCCATTTGCAGTGTTGAGCTGTTCATCACTTTAATGGTGCCTTGTACGGAGCACCATAATTTGTCGTTGACATTCAATAATTTCGAAATTGGATTTGTGGCCGAACCCAACAGAATTGTTTGTGGTGTTGTAGTGTTCCATGTACCAGCTGCAAATGAAAATTGGTCACCATTTAATTACAACAAACCTTTTTCGTGAAATTCATGTGAAAAAAAAAATAAGATAATTACTTTGATCTCTTGAATATATGATTAGTTCGCCATTGGCCAACGACACGAAAACTCTATTGTCGAGATATCTACGAAAAAGAGAATTGTTTTACATTTAAACACAATCACAATAGTTTTAGTAACGATGAATGGGCTTTGTCACACTTACAATATTGAATAAATGGCGCTAACGAGTTGGATTTTAATCTTATTCTTTTTGGTACGAATATTATCGGTGCAATTGTATACATGAATGCAACCATCTTCAGTACCCAGCCACATCGTTGGTTGATGCTGTTGATTATCGATTGACGAACTATCTTCGGTCGTATGACTGTGTTCAGTGCTCGAATTCGGTGCCGATGTCGACAGTTGTGGCGTTGAATTGGCTTTGGCCGAGTTCAAACGACGCAACGGTTGATTTTGTTCGGGCTCATCTGAATCATCACTGGAACTACTCGAATCAAGTTGTATATCCCTTTCGTTTCCACTGCTACTGTTAGTACCACCTCCGCTCGAATCATTCGACGCTATCGATTTTGTGCTTACATTGCTAGTTTTCTTTTCCAAATTTGAACTTCCATGTGATTTTCGACTCGGTGACGATGATGACGCATTGCTGCTCAACGAAGCAATGCTATCGTTTAGTTTCGTTCGATTAAATGCGGGCACTGAAGCCAAACACAATATGCGCGCATTGCAGACACCATTACACGATGTTACCTACATTATTAGAATGGAGAAAACGGCATTTATTTCGCTTATCATTCAGAATTTTTCTCAGAATTTGCTTACGGTCGGTTCCGGTGACAAACTCAGCACACACACTTGGCCCACGTATCCGTCACTATTGCAAACCCACACATCCTTCTGTGCGCCAAGCGTTGCGGCCGCACACGTGAACTGAAGTCCAGCGCGGGTTTTCCGAATCGACACTTTGTCTGAAATTGTTCAATTGATTTGCATCGCTGAAAATTTGGTCACATTTTAAATCATGTGCACGTGTTCTTACCGATGAATTCGGGTATTGGATGATGATCAAGTGCGGCTGTGATTTTCAATTTAACTTCGTTAAATGTTTTTTCCCACTGCGTACGTTTTTCCGACTTCGGAAAGACAACAGTCATGTGCTGCAATTGACTTCCACTGGTTTAAAAAGAGAAAAAGAGGTAAACGATTCAATCCACAAAAAAAAAAAAAAAAATTTGAGAAGTTAATTTGATGAAATTTTTCTTATTAAATTCCACTTACGATTGGCTCACGGCTAACTCCAATATACACAGCTGTGAATCGTTTGATTGTCGATCGGTTAATTGTCGTTGCAAGTCTTTCTGTAACTCCCGTACATTTTCCTCGATGCTTTGATGCGGACATCTGCAACAATATGCAATAAATTCAACGTTGTTGTTCCAAGGAAATGGTATGGAACACTTACCGAAGGCTCATGGTGATATCAAGGATTTGTTGCAGTTTGGTGCAATCTTCCGTCAAATACTCGATTTCTCTCATGATTTTTCGCACATTTTCATCTTTAGCTGTTGATACAAAGAGGTTTTATTGAATATGCTAATTTGATTTATTCAAAGAAAAGTGTTACCTTTGATAATGTCTAGATCTTCAATCGCAATTTTCATAAGCAGTTTGTATTTATTTGTATCAAGAGTGGATGCAACACTCATCGGGCAGGTTCTGCAATCAAGTCATTTTTTATCATTCATTTTTTTTTTGTATTTGTGTAATCAATCAAGTATATACACGCGTTCTAGATGTTTAACTTACATGCTTGGTTTTTTTATAGTTCCGCTGCGTCGTTTGATGCTAGTTATAATGAGCAAATCATTGAACAAGAAAAATCCACGTTCTTTGCGCCCACCTTGACCGTGTGGCATTGAAACTAAATCGAATGATAAAAATTGTCGATCGCCTGACACCAAATCAGAAATGCCTTCGATGACGCCCTACACAAATGAAAAGAAATGAAACGAAACGCAACGAGAAAATTGAAGGAAAAAACTTGTGATAAATATCGGCAATTTGATTCAATGACAATTCAAATCCTTACTTCAAGTTCACGTAGAGTGGCCTCGCGTTGGTCGTTTTCTAGTGCTTCACGTTCTTTGCAGTTTAAATGCAATAGAATGTCATGTACCAATTTCAAAGCTTCTTGCAGCGGTTTCTGATCCGGATGTTCTTCGTCTGTGTGCTTAATCAGTCTTTGGAACATCAATTCATAGCTGAAATGGAGTGACAAGAAAAGAAAAGCAAAATGAAATGTTATTAAAATGCATCAATTTGTTAAAGTACAATTGAGAATTTCAATCCTTGCCATTATTGAACAAATAATCATTGAATCTGATTGAAAAAGAATCAAGAAGAATGGTTAATTGAATGAGTACATACTTGGGAAACTTTTGTACTGGTTTGATCAGTAAATTGTCCAATGTTAGTTTGCCTTTGTGTTCGCGTGCCATATTTTCGAGAAAACGAGCGAATGCTGGCCTATGATTGGATGCACTTCGAATGGCCGATTTTGCACGATTCACATTATTTACGAACAATGTATATGTCTCCAGAACGATCGATGTTGAAAACTGAAAATGAAAATTACAATTAGTTTCTTATGCCGGGATGGATGATGCATTGACTCTCTCGGATGTCATATTGGATTATACCACTTGAACGAAAGCGTCTCCAACGCGTTGCAACGGTTCCCAGATCTCCAAACGTGAACGAAGCTCATCAAGGAATTGTTGATGAATATTAAGAATGGCAGGGACCATGAGGAAAATCTCATCGACTGTTTGTGCTTCAATAAGTGATGCATTCTCCTGTGACTTCAATGGATTTAAGTATTTCTGTGAAATGACAGAAAGAAGAAAAGAAGGGGAAAAAAAAACAAAAAAAAGCACTCAATTTATCGTGTCTTTCCACAAGCAATAATGCACTTATCGAAAACTTGAAAACTTCATTACCTTGACTACCGTTTCCAGTGACTCGACGTACGATTTCTCTGTGTTGAATAGCTCGACGACAACGTGTGTTCGCGTATCCTGTCAAGATAATCGAATGAAAACAAAAACAAAAACCCAACCGTTAATTACAAGGTTTGCTTTAATGGCGTATTGTGATTTCTCTATATTAATTTTATTTTCAAACTCGATTCCAATAAAATTACACACTGAAACGGTAATCGGATTTATATTCGATGCTAAAACGAGTAGGAATGTCTTAGTGAGCGAGAGGAAAATCCCAACACTATCGGGAAACTGTGTTTGCATGCAGATAGGGAGATTTTCCATTGAATTGAATTGTGTGGATTGCATGCAAATACATCGATCAATAAATTTTGCTCTGTTCATGTCGCTGCTGCTGCTGCTGCTTTTGCCGCGCGCGCGTTCGTCCTACTTAAATTCCAATTACACAAAGCCCCGATCATATGAACTGTAACGTGAACTGACATTATAGTTTTTAATGCGCTTCAATTGTTTGCACCGTAAAGTTAAGAGCGTTAGCGCCATCCAACTCTAAGTTTTTTTTATCCGCTCTTCTTTGAGTTTGTACAGAGAAAGGGAGAACGGGAGAGAGAGAGAGAGAGAAAAAGTCAAAGCTTTCGAAGAATATTTGATGAGTGTGACAATTTAACTAAATATTCGATATATTATTATTTCCATGAAATCATCACATGCAACGCGTTTCACAAGCTGCTCAATCGTAAGCGTATGTGTGTGTTAGAGTTGGTGTGTGCCATTATTGCTGTACTTTCGTTCCGTGTCTTTCTCTTTTTCTCGTTCATCATTCAAGTGGAAAATTTGTGAAAATTACTTCGTATGAACAAACGACAGAATATACAAAACAACAAGATCTACGATGTGGTTAATAATAAAGATAGACGCCCTTGTTCTGTATATTTGCGCGCTTATGGGCAAAACAATAAACGTGGAACGTACAAACAGTACGGTTATACGTATTAAATACACTCGCATTTACCATCGCGCAAATAATAAAATATCGGAATGAAAAAAAGAGGAAGCACGTTGAACGTAAGCAAATAAGCAACAGCAGCAACAACAATTCAGCTCGAGGAAAATAACTGCAGAAATTGTTCGAAAACCCGTAGAATGTTGGAACAACGCGCGATTGCAATCTCTCGCTCGAAGGAAGAGATTTAACAATGCGAATGCATTCAAGACGAATTCGATGTCACCTCAATCAAAATATTTATATTAACAACTTGACTACCAATTCTTTCGAGCTTTCTCCTTCCACTCACTCTTTGGTGCGCGACACACACACTTCATTCCATACGTTTCCATTTTAAATTGCATTTTTGCTTCGGTATTTGAGGTATTTGTTTGCGTTACTCGCTTCTTTTTATTCGTGTACTGACGTAGAGAAAATGCGCTCTCGCCACGAAAGGATTTGCAATGAAATTCATGTTTACTGTTGAATATGCAGCGTGGTACTGTTTTTTTCGTCGTCCCAATGCATACACACACTGAATTTATTCGATGTGGAGATAGGAATTTTATTCGATTTTATTTCCATAAAGGAAATAAAAGACAACAATTCCCTCTTCGCTTCTATCTCTGGTGCGATGGTTTGTTCGTAGTAGAGGAGAGTAGATTGTGTGGCTGGCTCCTCTTCTTATCACAACATTTACATCTTTATCGATTTTATTTTTAATGTGCAAACACCCTCAATATATGGGATATGAAGGGAAAAAAAACAAACAATTATAGAGCTGCTGTCCTTTATCGCAAACTGCAAGCGCATAAAGCATGAGTTAATGTACCATTTTGCTAGTTCAGTGGTAAATTATTATTACCATTTCATTATAATCGACTGCACACACAATTTCGAAAGAGAGAGAGGCAGGGTGGAAGAGAGTACGTTTCAAAATCGAGCAAAACACAATTTTGCTTATTGCAAGTGGAAACAAGTTGCGTTCATCGCGCGGGAGAGACTTTTCTCTCTCTTTTCTCTTAATTAACTCTGTAAAATGTGTGTGTGAGAGAGAGAGAAAGAGAATGCACAACAAGTAAAAAGTGGCAATGGATCGTGAAACGAGTGAAGCTGAAACGTGATTTTTCGTTACATTGTTGTGCTTTTGTGGTGTGCTATAAAAACATCGTTACGTCTGTTCTGTTGTATTTTTCCGGCCAAACAACAATTAGATCATAATGATAATGATTGTTCCCGTTCATTCAATCCCATGAAATTTTCGAATGCGGCATGGCGAATTTCAATAGAAAAAAATATTAAAAATGGAACATTCTTCATTCTTTTGCAAACAAAAATATCGACCATTAATGAAAAATGCGCCGTTTTGAAGAGCATCAAATTTACTTTATATACATATATAACCATATTTTACGTCCTGACTGAATTTCATTTTGATTGATATATTAAACACATTTAATGCATTTGTTTCATGCTATTGAATTGAAGAAAGAGAGAAAGACGAAGCAAACACAAGAAGCTGACATGCGATTCCGATGATACGTTTTCAATGGGGCAATATATCGTTGTAAGCTCTATAATGTACAGTTTATGAAATCGAAGGAAAGAAATAAAAACAGTGAGCGCGCGCGATTCGCCATTGCGAACGCAATTAAATTCGTTGCTTCAATTGATGTGTACGCTCCTAAAAATAGTTTATATATGGATGACAAATGAAGCCATTTTACATGAATCGTGTGGGTCGAATCTATTCGTTATGTCCTCATAACTAGAGAAAGAGAGAGAGAGAGAGAGAGAGAGAGAGAGAATGATTTGGATTTATAGTCCACATTTAACACTTATTTATTTTTCTTATTTCATTCCTTGGCTTTGGATCATCGTGACATTTGCGTTTCATTTCTGTTTCAATTAATGTGCGATGAAAAAATTCTGTGCATTTTTTTATTCATGACCAAGTAGAGGAGTACATATAGAGAAAACGAAAACCGCAACTGGTGTTCAATTAATAAGCCAAGCCACGCGATTTTAATAATGTACCGTTGAGTTTTCAAGTGTTTTTCTTTCGTTTTTCTTTTCTTCTTCGAAACAAGCAACACAAAGCGTCGTTGCTGTGAATACCTGTTGATTGAACAGGATCAAATAAATTAAAACGCAAAACTCTTATAAACATAAAATCGATATCAAGCCCCATTGTGTTGTAATTGTACTGAGGCGGTTGGAGTTTTTTTTTTTGCTACGAAGTGGTGGCTTCACACGCTCAACAATAATAATCGTATCCTCCATATCCGCCGTGTGTCTCGCACATATGCGCGGCGCGAAAACATGTCTATCCATTTTCAATTGATGGAAAACAGATGATAGCATGAAATATGTATACGTATACATATTTTTTGTGTTGAGTTTGTTTACAATATTTGTGAAGTGAAAGGCTAGAAAATGATGCGATCGTACACAATACCAGATATATAAATCAAGCATAGATATTCGGCGTACAATAATTTGCATTGCATTTTTCACGCATAAAATAATTTCTTTTTTCTCCAATCATCGTGTGTGAATAAAAACGAAGCAAATCAATGAAAACAGGATTGGTCTTGGTTGAAGCGAACGAAAAAATGAACAAACAAATGGAGAATGGGAACGAAAGAAAAGCCGGAAAGAGCAATAAATGATATTACGAACATTTTTATTCTGTTCGAGGCGACGCTATTTTTAGAGGGAAAAAAGGGAATTTTTTTCCATAATAATTATAACTCAGCTATTTCTTTTTCCATCACTGGCTTCGTACCCTAATGGTATATTAATGCAAGTTCAGCTGTACAGGCTTGTGTTTGCATAGATATCATTTTAGTTCTATTTGTGCACCGGTGACAGGATCGGATATTTCAATCTTCATGTGGATGGTAGACTGACTGTATTCGAGTCCAGAAATGTAGGTCATTTGCCTATCAAACCACAGTTCATATCGATTTTAGACGAAGCTCATCGTATCCTATTTCCATCCCCCTTTCGATGAACGTATAAAAAAAATCACGTCAATCCTCTAGTCGTGACATGAATATTTCATAAGCGAAAGTGGAAAAAAAACGTTTTCGGATGACCCGCGCACCGAAGCCAAGCCTCTTGTTGCGTGTTGATTAATTAAGAGCAAATGCTTTTACGGCGATAAACTTAAATTTTTTTTTCGCAATTATCGCCATTATCAAAATGTTTCGTTGATTTTTGTAATCACTTTATTTATAATTGAAATTTCAATTCATACCGCTGAACGTTCCTGAGAATTGAATAATATATGTATGGGAGTATTGAAAGGGGTTTATTGATTAACCAACCAGAAAGGATGAAATATTCACATTCTCCGGATTTGAATTTCATTGTCCGAAGGATAAGAGGTATAGAAATATGAACAGAATCAATATATTGGTGAACAAAGGATGAAAAAAGCGATTTGGCTAGAAAACCACAAGTCATAATGATTTTCTTTCACAATCAATATGTTTGCATATTCCATTTTTAATCACTTCCTTAGCCGGTGGACCCACCCACCCACTCGAATGTTTTTTTTTTTGTTATTCTGTCACTTACTACAAAAACATCTTCCATTTTATTTTCTACTTCGTCGAAGCGACTTCGGGTGTGTTCATTTCGTTTGTCTATTTCAAAATAATGGACAGCTGAGTTCGTTGAACTTACGTCTTTGTAGTTGAAAATCCATTTGTGTGCGCCCAGATTTCGGGTAGTACGGTCAAAATCCTCTTCAGAATCCGAGCATTGCTCGGACGGTGGAAATGACGCATTCGAATTAAGAACAGTAACCGTGGCATTCATTGGATTTGTTGCTGCAGGCATTGTGGTTGCTGTTATGGTTGTTTTTGCTACGGTATTTTCGTTTAATACTCGATTTTCACTAATTTTCGTCGTATCATTTAAATGTGTTTCGTTGGCAAGATTTTTACTAGCGTCGATTGTATTGAGAGAGTTTGTGTTTAGAACCGACATTTTCTACCACCGAACCGTCGGAACTTTGAATCGAAAGTACTCTCACCACTTACTCACACTCTAGTCTTTTATCAAGCTGAATTGTTTTTTT